GTTCAAATTCATTTAGCGTAATTATATAAACTAGAACCAAAGTTTCGTTTCTTTCATATGAAAAAAAAAACGAACGACATTCATCATGTTAAAAAGCTGAGCAAACAAAAAGTTTAATGAAAAAAATTTGGTAGTGTTACTTAAAGCGTGTGGATAAGAGCCTTGTATAATTGAAGCGGTCGGAATTGAGTCTCGCTGCAAAGTGACATAACACACACGGGTATTCCAAGCACCCCCACCCATGACGTCACCTTAGCCGACTCGTGTCCCGACAGCACGAACGAGAGACAGGAAGCCGAATAACAAAAGGCCGACACGAATAAGAATACAATTCCTTTGCCTAATCCAGCTGGCATTTTTGAAAAGTTCGATAATTTTTTTGTGGTGTCACAGCAAATCTAGACTGAAAGCTTAAACATCTTGCTTGAATTATTAAAAATTAAAAAAGATAGTTTGTTCTAACCAAGCTTAACACTGATAAAATAGCTTAAATTCAATGCACTTTGACAACAAACAGTATTAGATTTTGTGATATATTGATAGCCTGCACTATCAAAGCCTATGATGTTTTTTTGTCACGATAACAAATAAACTTCAAGAATTCGGTTGCGTTTTAACTTCGCTTGGTTGCTAAATTCGTATAATAGCATAATAGCATGATTATATGATAACAAGACTACTCATATATCAGGGCGAAGCCCTGAACATTCTGGCTGCACTTTAAGGTGCTTCAAATTTTTACGCTGGTCGTCGAGCTTTATGATAGTCCATACACCGCCAAAAAATTACGTTTTGATCAGAGATTATTTAAAGCTTATGCAGTTCATAAGTAAAATAGAATGATTTGTCACAATCAACGTTTTTTCAAATTTTTAAAATTGCTTTGTTTTATTATGAAGGTTGGACTGTTTCGTTTTTGTTCAAATTCATTTAGCGTAATTATATAAACTAGAACCAAAGTTTCGTTTCTGTCATATGAAAAAAAAACGAACGACATTCATCATGTTAAAAAGCTGAGCAAACAAAAAGTTTAATGAAAAAAATTTGGTAGTGTTACTTAAAGCGTGTGGATAAGAGCCTTGTATAATTGAAGCGGTCGGAATTGAGTCTCGCTGCAAAGTGACATAACACACACGGGTATTCCAAGCACCCCCACCCATGACGTCACCTCAGCCGACTCGTGTCCCGACAGCACGAACGAGAGACAGGAAGCCGAATAACAAAAGGCCGACACGAATAAGAATACAATTCCTTTGCCTAATCCAGCTGGCATTTTTGAAAAGTTCGATAATTTTTTTGTGGTGTCACAGCAAAACTAGACTGAAAGCTTAAACATCTTGCTTGAATTATTAAAAATTAAAAAAGATAGTTTGTTCTAACCAAGCTTAACACTGATAAAATAGCTTAAATTCAATGCACTTTGACAACAAACAGTATTAGATTTTGTGATATATTGATAGCCTGCACTATCAAAGCCTATGATGTTTTTTTTGTCACGATAACAAATAAACTTCAAGAATTCGGTTGCGTTTTAACTTCGCTTGGTTGCTAAATTCGTATAATAGCATAATAGCATGATTATATGATAACAAGACTACTCATATATCAGGGCGAAGCCCTGAACATTCTGGCTGCACTTTAAGGTCAAATAGACCATTTTAGCTTGGAAAACTGATAAAATAATTGAAACAAGAAAAAAAAAATTTTCTTCATTTTGTCACCCCACAAACTTATGCAAAGTGGAATGGGATTAATTTAGTGCCTCGTATCCTAAGAGAAAAAACCAAAATACGTACTTCAATTTAATTTGGTACAACTTAATCCGACATTGAAGCGTGTTATAATAAGGCAAAAAATCGCGCGTTAATATTCCAAATTGGCATTTTTCACACCCCCTAAAATTACGAAAAAATGAACACATCGAAGTATCTTTTTAATATTGAGCTTGAAACAATAACACTTTTCAGATTTAAAAAAGTTGTAAAAATTGCTTATTTAAAAATTCGAAAACTGACTAAAAAAACACCCTAAGCCATGCCTAATTTTTCCGCACTTTCTTCGTAGGTCGAAATCATAAAGAAGACCCAAAATTCTGATGAAACGCATTCAATGAAAGAAGAAAAAAAGTAAAGTGGCCGGTCTAAGAGAAAAGTTACTGATAATGCGGTACCCGGGTCCGCATTATCAGTTGACGAAAAATGCGTATCATGCAAATTCATACACTTCATAAACCAAAAAAAAACAGTATGAAAAACTATGATGAGCACTTTTTCAAACCTATAAAGTTTTGAAATGAGCTTTTTTTGCCAAGTTTCTGAATAAAGCAGCAAATTTTTTGACATAGTTTTTTCACAAAGGTTTCAAGAAACGAGCAAAAACCATTTTTTGAAGCGTGAAATTGTAAAATGAAAGTGCAATACACTTTTGGAAATTTTGTGTATTATCCGAAAAACCACGGATTTACCACGGATTTACTTTCTTAAGAAATCCAACAGTGTAACTGGCAGTTACCACGCAGATATCGATGTATTAACCACGGATTTATTTTCCTAAGAAAACCAAGAGTGTAACTGGCAGTTACCACGCAGATACACTGCATTTGGTGGTATTCACTAACTTAGTTAATGTTAACTTTTTCACACAGATTTATACAGCAAAACGTAAAATTTTGCATATGGCTACAAAATTTTTACTCTGAAAGTTTCAATGGTGGAGAAAAGACACTTGTTGTTTTTTCTACACACATTTGTTTCTCGTAGCATATAAAAAGAATAAAAAAATAGTTTATAAAAAAAATTTTTTTTTTGTATTTTCTGGTTTTCTTGGTTGAAAAACTCAACCTGGACTACGTCATGGAAAGGAAGTCAATTTTTGCAGGCAAATTTTTCTTGCTTAAAATGTAATTTGAGCACAAAAACAAGTTTGCAACAAAAAAAAATGTGAATTAAAAAATTTTTATGAAATTAACATTGTATGACCAGTTTTTTTTTCAAAAATAAATTTTTTAAGCCAAAGTTGCCAACAGTTTTCATAGAAAAATGCTTGTCATACTTTTTTTTCAATGAAAATTGTATGATAAGCATTTTGCATGCAGTTTTAAGGTATCCCGCTAAAATTTTGCAACCTAAAGGTTCCCGCGGTAAAACAGTACTTTTGTGCAAACTTGTGACAATTTCCAATTTATAACTTCCAACTTCCAATCTTTGTTATATCATTTGAAAGACACTACTGTATTGATTTCCACATTCAAAATAACTTAGCCAACCTGGAGAAAAGGCTACACTGGGATAATTGAGATGTGTATATCAAAGTTTTCGTTTAAAGCGTTGCGCAGGCAGCAACTTTTTCTTGTTTGAATTCATTCTATTTTGAACAAAACACAGCTACTTAATCTCATTATTGCGTTGTAAACACAAAGTCTACAGCTTCGTATTTAGCATTGCGTCTGAAAAATAAACAACAAAAAAAATTAAAGTTTTATCAACTATTATTTCTGAATTCTTTAAATACTTTGATAAAAGATTAATGTGCTGTAAAAAAGAGCACATTTGCAAGGAAAATACAAAAAAAAACATAAAAAATCTGCGCTGGCTCTTAGACTAATCGTGAAAAAAAAAATCTTTTTAACCAGTGCGGAGGCTGTGGCTTTATGGCCAGATTATCCCAAGCAAATATGGGTATTTCAAGATCAATATTAATTATTTCCATGCCATTGCAATGAAAAGGTTTTTTTTTAATTTGGCAAACCAAAGACATTTGATTGCAACCGATGCAATTATGACAATTAATCTAAATCGAGAGCATGTTTGGGGTCTAATTTTCAATCCGCTGATCAAAATTTAAACGGTAATTTTTCAACAAACAGCCTTATCTATAAATCGTCAAGATTTGAAGCCGAATTACATTTCATCAGAATTACGTAAGAAATGCATAAGAGCAGTGACAATCTGTAATTATGTTGCATAGCAATAAAGTTTTTCGGCTTTTTGAAATGGGAATTGTGTTTGTGGCTTCTTGAATTTTCGGATTGTTGGCCTACCACCATTTGAACATAGGTTCGAAAAATTCTCTCAATATTTTATCCAATCAAATAGATTTTAAAAACCACACAACTTTGGCTGTTTTTTTTTGTTTTTCAGAAGCAAAGTTTTCTGCAAATACAACAAAACGGCAGGTCCAAAAAAAAAACAAAGAAAAATGTCCGAGAAATTGCACGTCCGAAACAAAATCAAGGAAGAATGTTCGAGAAATCCAAGTCTTTTAGTTTTTTTCAAAAAATTGATCGAGACAGCATCTAGATGATTTTTCTAGGGCTAACTAGGAATCTAATTATAATTTAAAAATGCAAATTCAAATGTTGCCTCGAAATGCTAGACGCGTTAAGTTAATATGCGCATATATTGCTATAAATGAGATATTAGAAGCATATATATGAAATTCCGAAAAATACGTCGGTATTCCAAGGTATTTTAAAAAAAGCGATACAACAGTTGCAATAAAACCTAAGCATAAAACACTTAAGAAATCAACGAAAATGGAAAAAAAAAGAAAAAAAATGATGTCTACCAAAGTTTACTTTTTTGTTTGTCTCGCTATAAGTTCATTCTAGGCAAACATGCAAGTCATTGAAATCGCAATTTAACCTCGAAACCAAACCTGCTTACATTATACTGAAAAAACCCAGGTCAAACCCATTCCTTACCTCTAGGCTAAGTGGGAAGAAACCAGGAAGTTGTTAACAGTCAATAAAAAACCAAATTGAAAATTTGTAAGAAAAGTTGTTTTCGGGAAAAATGCCAAGATCTCGAATAAAAGGCAGCTGCTCTCGGAAGCGTAGTGTTAGAAATTTTATACAGATTTATATTTTTTCTTCAATCTTGTTTTAATTCATAGTGACCAGGATTAAATGTTCTTCTAGCACTTCAACTAGCTCTCATTGTTTGCATTTTGTCTTGCAGTTTTTGATAAAATCTAATCAACCCAACCAACCCAACAAATAGTTCTTTTGAAATATTGAATTCAATAAAGTTTTATTGTAATTAGTTTTCCATAGCAAAATAAATATATCATTGTATTCCAATTCCCATTTGATGCAAAAACCCTTTTCTCCAATAATCACATAACGGGAAAAACAAAAACAAGCAAAAATGTCTTGCAGCCGAAATTGCTAAGCATAATTTTTCTAAAAAATCTTTCAGTAAGCCTATGAAATTTTGTTTTAAAGATTTTTCATAGCCGTGGTGATTTTTCACAGTCATGTTCATAGCAATGATATTTTGATTTTAAGGGAAATTTGATAGATTAGTTCTATTTTAGCTGAGTTGACATTTTGACCTGATAATCTTCAATTCACCCCAATAAGATTTCATTTTCCTATTCGTCTTCGTCTACAACTTTGGTAGTGACTTTTGTGCCCATTTTAATTTCCGTCGGTGGCTTCTTCTTAATTCCAGTGTTGATTCTAGACGACGCTTTCAAAGTGATATCTTCCTTCTCAACCACAACATTTGATTTCTTCTTTGAGACTTCGGGCTCGGGTTGGAGTTTTGCCTCGGGTTCGGGAGTCGTCGTAGACTCGGACGTGGCTCCGTAGTCGGCAGCCGAGTCGAGTAGTTTGCCCTTGTCGTCTTCTTTTTGTTCCCGGACTGCCTTCTCGTGTTGATATATACTCCACAGTAAGATAATCAAAATGGCAAACGAGAAAAGCACTCCTAAAATCAAGTTTAAGTATTATTTTCAATAGGTGATCTATGAGCTCGTTTGGCCGGGTCTGATTATTTAAGAAGGGAAATTAGGACATCCTTCTCCACGGAAAACTCGCCGCTCAATCAATGTTCATTCAAAGGAACCACAAGAACCTTACGCGTTTAGATTGTCACCACCCCCCTTCCACGATAAAGAAGTCAAAAGCCTCCAAAAAAGCCTAAGAACGGTATGTTTTTTTTGCACATTTTCCCAAAAAAGTTTTGCAATGCAGAAAACATCTACCAATAAGACAAGTTATTCTTCGTGTTTTTGGGCACTATCGTGGTTTAAAAAGACTCCCCGGCAAAAATCGAAAATCTGCGCTTAGAGAGACTAGTCGATTGGAATATTCGGAGCACGTTATCAAAAAGCTTGGTTTTACTCAACCATCTGCCTTCGCCAGAACAGTAATTAAATTACATCAATTCGAAAATGATAGGCGTTAATTGTTTTCTGATCGAAAATTTATTCTACTTCAAAGCTTTATAGTCTAACTTTGAATAAGCTTAGGCACTTGTGCTCATAAAAATTAATAAAAATTGGTATTAAGCAAATACACTTTAACACATAAGACACCATGATGGCGCAATATATTAATTATTATTTTTAAAACAACCGCCTTTTCAACGATTTTATTACATTTATAAAAGTGAATATTTAGTTTGAAAGAAATTGTCTGGTCCTCCATCAAAACATTGGAAAACAACCGAATGAACTATTTTAGGATGAAAATTAAAACTGTCATTTTTGCCAATTCTGTCCTGAAAAACAGAAGTTGACAAAATCCGATGATAAAAACAACTACTCAAAGATTTCAGATCGCAAATTGTGCGATTTATCTTCAGTTTTGATGATTCATGTCATTTAAAAAAAAATTCCACGCTTACGTAAGTCGAAGATTATATCAGTAACAGCGGCACTGGGGTTTTCTCTGAAGGAAATTTTTAATGAGCTCAGAATACCATTATATGACTTTGTTTCAATTGTTTTGACTTAAATTTGCTTGTTTTGGACCAGTTTCACTCCTCGAAGTTTCGGCGCCACTCCTCGAAGTTTCGGTACATTTCGGCGCCGAAATCTCACATGGTAAAAATTAGCTCATGAAATTGCCGCTCTTTTTTCAAGACTGTCGTCTCGTTTTTTCATTACATGATTGGATAATTGATTTGCCTCAATCTGTGACGGGGGTTCTTTAAAGCTTAGCACTTTAAATTGACGGCACCATGAAATTTCGCTTTTTCTTTAAAAATGGAAACTAAAAAAAAGTTTGGTTGATTTCTTTAACCATCGAAAAAAAAATCAGATGGCATCAACGTTGTATGTTCTGACCTTACAAAAAGTGAAGAATCTAACCGAAAAGGATGAGGAAGAGAATTCTGTTGTCGTCTGCCTTGTACACCCGGACGATAGGATCCACAGACTCCCAGTTGCAATACCTCGAGATACATGTGCTGAAACATTCGATTTCGTCGCCATTCGGCTTGCTGACCACTTCGCAGTTCTGCCACAGGGTTTTGTTGCCGTTGAGGAAGGAAGTTCGAGTCCTCTCAGTCGAGGCGTTGACGTCCAGACATCCCCGGCTGACCTCGATGTTTCGGTCGACGTCGAAGAAGACATGGTCGTATTCATTGTAACTAAAATTAGGAACCTCATATTATTAATTGAATCATGCCATGTTTTAGTCTAAAGGTTTCGATTAAAGGCAGCTTTTGTTCATTTAAATAGACAGAATCTTGAGCTAGTTTGAGTAGGAACTACTTGAGATCTGAAAATGATACTCAATTTCATCCAAAAATGAATCACTTCAACTAAACATGCGTCCACTTGACATAATAGACTGTGAATGTGTTTTTAAATCTTGTTTCGTATTCTCATTTCAAAATTGGGACCAAGTTAAGCTCCCGATAGAGCATTTTTTTTCATTATTATCACTGATTTTGTACTAATGAAAAATGCAAGGTTTGATTTGCTGAAAAAATCAACTATACTTTGAGCCTTACTGGAATTCAGATAAGGTTTATCAAATGACTCTACATGATTAAACTAGACTTTCAAGATGCCACCCGACAAGCGGACAGGCTGATGCGTAATTGTTATTCTCTAAAGTTGAACTAAATTCTTGTAAACGTACAATTTCATAGAAACTATATTTGTTTATTAGTTTCTTGGCTTGAGATAAAAAAAGTATGATTATTTCTTACCTTCTAGGTGCCCAGTTTCTTATGACTGCTTTTGTGAAGCATCCTTGATTGGATCCGCACCTTACCCCCCTTTCGAAAGGCGCCACAGCGCAGTCTTCAGCCCCCTCGCACTCGTAACAATCTATGGGGGCAACAGTCAGGTTCTGTTTGTCCACACAACCAAACCCACGAATTAAGTCGTATGGAGCCGAGCAAGCGCAGATTTTTCCGACGTCGTTTCGGGACGACTGCAGATAATAGGGTTCCTTGCAAATCATTCCGGGGTAGAAACCGTAGTTTACTGAAATCATTAGTTAGTTCTTTTCCAACCCAAATTGAAATGAACTCGCCGAAAACTATAGTACTCTAATAATTTTGAGTGTTTTTGAATATGATTCTAACTCATTTCATTAATATTTTACAGTATTTCCCCTTATTTTTTTATACAAACTTTACAAATGTGAGGAAGTAGTTCTTTTGAAAAACAACAAATAATTGCGTCAAACAGAGATAGATCTAGAGTTTTCTCAAGGGATAGCAGATTTTCAAAAAATTAGAAAATTTTGTCGACTAAATTGTCATAAAGACCCTATTTTATCAATTTTTTTTGCGCCGCCAAAATTTTTTTTCTTGGCTTGCGCTCTTCCTCAAATTTAGTGCATATTGGCGCTGATGGTGCTTTTAGAAAAAGCTTAGGGTCAGCCTGTCAAACGTGGACATCTCAAAATAGTGCACAAGCGGGTACTTTGGGTCGGTAGAGGGTGGAATCCCTAAAAAAATTGTCCGACACCCCGCCCCTTCCCCACCCTAGATCCGCTAATAAATAAATCCGCTAATAAAGTATTTAAAAAATTATACCACAAATAAGAGACTGAAAAGCACAGAAAAGTTTTTAAAAAGATCCGAAATCCGAAAAAAAATGTCAAAACTCACAAAACAGAATTTTTTGTTTTTTCTTTCAGCCTCAAAAGAATTTTTATGCACAAACAAACTTTTTCTATAAAAATCATCTAAAACTTTAAAATTGATTTTTTCATCAGTAATTTATTCCAGACACAAACTTTTCACCACAAAAATACAAATAAAACAAAGTGTTTTTTTATGAAGCCAGTTTTGTATTATTTCACATCGATAAAAAAACATAAAACTGTCAAAAAATTATAAAAAATTTCAATAATAAACCTACTCGGATAATCTCCAAATGGATTTTAGATAGAATATTTTTGCCTTTCCTGCTGAGTTTATCATATGAGAAAATCTTTGATAATTGTTTGGACTTTCGAAGAAAGTGATGGAGCATTTTTGCTCGTAGTGGTCTATTTTTTTCCAGACATTTTGACGTTTACTAAACCATTTTTGGACAAACGTGTTATTATCATGTTAAAAATGTTCCCGCACTGAGCTCAAATGTAAAAACATATTTACCTGTAATGATTTTTTAGAAATTTATCGAATTTTGAAAATTACTTTTTGTGACATTTAATGTGCGATTTAATTCGAATTGATCACGCTTAAGAGAAATTTTTATTCTTTCATTAATTGCTATAGTTCAATTATTGTATTATTATCTTAAGAGACGCTAGAACGATTTCTTTGTACTTTGGTGTTCTCAAAAAAATCCGACGAAATTTTTTTAATGTTTTTTTTTTCTATTTCAATGCATAAATAAATGTATAAGTTATTTCAATTGATGTTTTGACAATTGAATTCAAAAACGTTGAAGAGCATTGAAAATTTTTTAGGGTTTTTTCTCTATACAATTAGTCTCGTTTATCTAACTTTCGAAAAAAATGACGGCAAATTTGTGCTCGTGGGTGTTTTTCCTCAGACATGTTTCGACTTTTTAACTATATATTTTTGGCAAGGGTGCTATTATATCTTTCGGAAGCCATTGTTGCAACCTTTACTCAATATTACAAAAAGATTCGTCTGTGATCCTTTTTAGTAAAATTTTGTGGTTTTAAAGATTGCCATTCTGGCCACGTTGGGATTATTAACGCTCGATTAACTTTGTGCAATAAACGCGTAAGCTATTACGCTAGCAATACTATGTACGTCGGACAAAACTCTTGCTAGGAATAAAGGGTCCTTTCTACTTTCTTTCTTAGAAAATAAATCTAAAATTCGCTGAGAAACATTTTATTAGAAAAGAAGATAGTATGAATTTACTGCAAGTTGCCTTTTGATTCAATTTTTATTTTAAGGGTGAGATTAGAGATATTTTTACTGAGAATGGAGAGTACTTTTCAGAGAATGGTTGGGGTGATTGAAAAGAGAGAAGTGTTGGTATTTTGTGAGAATTTGTTGGAATGAATTTTAACTTTTTTACTTTTTAACTTCGTATTCTCTATTTTTTAACTTTTTAACTTCGTACTCTCTATTCGTGCATTCGTATTTTATGAGAAGAATGTTTCGTATGCTCGTATTTTACGAGAGGAATCGTTATTAATCGCATTGAACGAGAATAGTCGCTTTATTTCTCAATGCTTAAAACGTTATACGAATTATTCCAATAGCATTTCACTTCCTTTTGCAATGGGATAAAAAAAATGTTTATTTTGTGGTGGTGGCGGCGTCACATTTTGTGAGCACAAAAAATAATTCATGTTTCTGTTTCAATTTGAAATCAGAACAAAGCAGAGGTTCAATCCGTCCCAGAAATTGTTCCAAATTGAATTGAAGCGTGATGTTTGGTCTTTTTAATACTTTGCGATATGCAAAGAGTATCACTTAGTACTTTGTATTGCATTTGAGGGAATGATTGAAAAAAAAACATCAAAAAGACTTGAAAAGAACATAAAAAAGCATCAAAAGATTAAAAAAAACACTTTATTGGCCTTAAATGATAGTTGCAACATGCAAAGTTTCGCCTTCTTACGAGCACACCTGTTGTGTTTTAAGATCAAACTCAAAAAAACATAAAGGCAAAGTCAAAAAGGATAAAGTATTGTGGTACAATTTCATGGAATGAAAAAATGCTGGTGGAGCAATTTCATTGAATAAAGAAAATGTTAGCGGGACCTTTTTAGGGCATGGAAAACAGTAATCAGACAATTTTCCAGGCGTGTGAAAGTAGCGCATGAGGGGGAAGATTTGATCCAATTAAAATATTTGAAAAAAGGGGCGTTATAGTTATTAAAAATCCACTCGTACATTGGCAGTCGGCGTCTCTTTCGCAGGGTAGTGCACAGATGTTTCCGTGGTTCTCTAGCCGGAGACACTGTTCGTTGGGCCAGCAGTCAGTACTCTCCCTGCAGTGGCCACACTCGCTGTCGTTGTTGCCGAGAAGAGTCAGCGGAAACTCACCTAAATTAATTAGATGACTCACTCTAAGGTAGAAAAAGGATTCATTCTCGATAAATAAAACAGATGATTCATCCAAGGTTAAACAGATGACTCATACTATATTTAACAGATGACTCATCTAAGGTTAAGCAGATGACTCATTATATATCTACAGATGACTAACCCTAATAAGAAAAATGTCATCAGAGCACAACACTGAATCAGGGGCGGGGATTTAGGGGGGGGGGGGGTGTGGTGCGGACGCCCTTTTTCAGGGATTGGACCCCCTGTCGACCCAAAGTGTCCCTCCTTTGTTACTTTTAAGCAATCCATTTTTGGCCGACTGACCCTAAAATTATTCTAAAGGCGCCTATGGCGCCACCATATGCTATTTTTGAGGAGAAGCGCGCGCCACAAAAAACACGCGATTTTTTTGTCAAAATTTTCCAAACCTGTTTTTTGAAAAATTTGCCTGCGGCGCACAAATTTCGACCAAAAAACCGTCTTTTTAGTGCTATGAAGAGTTCAGAAAATCAATTTTGTCGACCTAAAAAAAAGTCGTCAAAATTTTCGAACAATTTTTGAAATTTACAAACTTGCTTTATAACTTTTGCATCAGTATTGTACCAGCTTTTTCTCACATTTAAAAGCGGAGCATCATTTGCTGCTTTGGCAGTGAGCTTAATTGATTTAAAATAACTATTTTCAGCGGATTTTCCAGGAAATTGTTATGAAAAGAAATGAAAATCTGTGCAAAAACTTCAGCAAGTGTTAATGATGTTAAAGGGTAACAATCAAGAATTTCAAAAAATTTACTATTGGCCTTCCTTCACATTAAGCAAGAGAATGGTAGAAAAATCAGTTCTGATTGATTTTTGATTTGAGGCGGGACCGATCATCCACGATAAAACTGACGACAGCATAGGACAGGGGCGGATTTAAGGAAGAGAGCGGAAGCGCCCCTCCTCCTCAGGGATTCGACCCCCTGGCCACCCAAAGGCTCCCCCTTTTGTACTATTTTAAGACCTCTATTTTTGACTGGCTGGCTAATTTTGAGGGGGAGCGTGCGCCGAAAAAAGCAATAATTTTTGGTCAACGAGGTAATCAGCTTTTGACGGAGACACGTACACTGAGCCCTCGGAATTTTTTTGTATGATTTTTGAACGACTTCATAGTCTCGAAGTTTTGCCTAACCTGCCCTCCAGCATGGGCGCGAGTCTTGGTAGAACTCCAACTGTTGATTTTTAGTTTGGCCATTTTAAACTGGTCGGGAAAAGTTTTATAACTTTTACAAACACATTGATGACCTAATAACTATAACAATTATAAAAATTTTTAACAGTTTTTTGTTTATCAAAATCCACTAATCATGGATCAAAATGGACTTACACGCGCACAACTGGTCTCTGGATGTGGGCTCTTCAAGACATGATGTTTCCGAGTAGCATGAGTCATCGTTCGGCTGCACTAGAGAGTAGGGACTGGTTCTGTCGCTAGGGTCCCCTGGCCCCTGGATGACTTCAGTGCACACTTTGCAACTGCCAATTTCGGAGTCGAAAAGGTTTCCGATTGGACACGCGTCTGAAAACAAAATTACTGATGGAATAATTTGCGACTAAAACCCAAAAAAAATGAAAATTTCAACCATAGGTTGAAAAAATTTTTGACCGAGATGAATTGTTCAGATGGTAAAAAGTTTTTAGCTACAAAAAAGACTTTTTAACTTTTTTTAAATAAAAATAATAAACAATTTGATCCACCCAGAGCAGTAGAACTCAAATCCATTGATTTTATTAAGTCTTCTTTGTTTGTGATAAACATTTACCAAATTAACTGTCCTTCTGAACTTGATTTTCTAGAGGGCGGGGGTTCAGGATTATAGAAGGACGGGTATTCGGGCTTATATACGGATACGGGTACAGGCATTATTCATAATATCCAGTTAGATTCTTAATTACTGTAGAAAATACTCATGTTCAGCCAAAAATTTAGCAATTATTTCATGTCGCATTCAAACAAAAAAAGTGACAAATAAAAAAAATGTGTTGAAAGTAGTCGTAAAAACTGGTTTCCAAGCATTTTGGGAAGACGTATTTTAACAAAGTGGATTTAATTTATCGGGACAAAATCACTAAAATCTAAATTTTAAAATGTACATATTTTTTGCAAATTGTGTTGATGCTAGACAAAAAATGAAGACAAAGTTTGTTTGTAATTTTAGCAAACTTAATTTTACCCAATTTAGTTTGCATAATTCAGACCCAAAAAAATGAGCCAAAACTGGTCACCCAAAAATTGCCGAAAAAAAATACCGAGTCACTTGTTGACAAATCTATATCAAAACGAAGCTCTTCTAATAACGCCCAGCAAATTCAAGCAGGGTATAACCTTTTAAGTTTTGAAAGAGCAACTTTTTTTCGCTGTTAGTCGAAAAATAATTTGAAAAGTTTCAGGATTAAAAACTTTTCTTGAATTTTGATAGGAAAACAAAGCTAAAATCTTAAAGAATTTGAAAAAAAAAATGAAAATAAATTTCGCTTTTGTTCCATTATTTTCCTATTTGTTTTTTTTAACCAGAAAATGCGTTTGAAATAGTTGAAAAATTCAAGAAAGATTGACAAGTAGACCTAAATTAGGGCTAAATTTTAGCATTAAGTTTAAATGGATTTAACCTGATGAACTAAATTAATCTGACAGGCCAGCTTCTCAACAAATTATGTATAATTGGTCTAAAAAACAAAAAATAAAATCGAACCAGTTTTTCCCGACTTATAGAGAGCTTGTTTGATTTTTTTAATTTTTGAGAAACTTAATCACGACCAAATTAGTAAAACTATGATACCACATTTAAGGCGAGGGTTTGAGAGTTTTCCGAGGTAGCGATTTTCCAAAAAAAAACTTTATCAAATCACTATAATTGTTTTTACAAAAAGTAAGAAATTTTTGCGCAGTGTATTTTTGGTTGACATAGTTTTTTTAGTAAAAGAAAACACGGGAAGACTATAATTTTTTCATGTTTTTTTCTCATGTTATTTTTTTTAACTTGCTCAATTAAATTCTGCCAACTTTCTAATGAGAGAAAAACTAATTCGATTTGTATGAGCTACTAAATTATGTAAAAATTGCATTTCCAGATTTTTGAAATAGCTTATAATCGAGACACATTTCCCGCTAAAATCTGGCTCGAAAATTTTGATTCATTGGCTGAAGAAAAAGTTGAACGTGTGAAAGAATTGTTGATGATTTTTGGTCATTGTGGTCGTAAATAGTTGCGCTGTTTCCGCCGCTTAAATTTAAAAAATGTTTCAAGGAGGAGCATGAAAGAAATCGGATTCAGATACGAGAAAGATTGATAGTGAACACGAGAAAAAGAATACAGGAAACTTTTGTATGTTCCGGCAGCTTTCAAAGTTTTCACTCTAAAGTTTTGCAAATAAAAAACAAATTTTTTATTTAAAAAACTGAACAAGTTGAGGCTGATTTGTAGTTTTATGATTTTTTGCTGACGTGGGTATTTTTGTGCTCGGAGTGGGTTTTTTTCTTCAGACAAACTTCGACTTTTTAACTAGCCATTTTTGACGGAATTTTCTAATGTCATTCAAAAGGTATTATTGCCCTGAGCTTCAATTTGAAAAGATATTTCACGTGTGATCATTTTTCGTAAAGTTATGGGGGTTTAAAGATTGCCATTTTGGCTAATTTGGGACAATAAACCCGGGATATAAATTGCGCTATTAATTGTCCCAAATTAAATCCGTCTCAGAAATTGTTCCAATTCCGTTGAAGAACTCTTTTTTTGCCATAATTGATTTGTTACTAGGAGCGAAATCTATCACTTGGTTTTTTGAATGGCGTGTGGGGGGATGAATTTCACAAAAAAGTCAAATAAAAAAAATTATTTTTTATAGTACATTCAATTTTTTCATGTTATTACTGCGCCATAGAACTTAAGAGGCAGTCGGAACATTCAGGGCCTCACCCTGATACGAGCAGTCTTGTTAAACTAGAAACTTTGATGAGTATTGGCGAAAATTGCAATTTTCGAGCAACTATGTTTTCTTTATAATTGCATAAAATTTTGTCAAAGTTTGCTTGGCCAAAATTTGAAATTTGCCTGTGTGAAAACTACGCCTAGCACAAATATTTCATGATCCTCCTTGAAAGCCAGAACAGGATAAAATTTAAAAACTAAAAAAAGCTGCTTTTTTTGTTCGCAACTTGATTTGCATATACAAGTATAGACGTATCAGCTGGAGTAAACTAAAGCTAATCATTTCAGTTTACTATGTGTTATCAATTTCTCCAGCTTCCTGTGACAGAGTGAAATTTTTTTTTTTATCAACAAGATTTGTCTAGCAAGATAAGATTTCATTTTCAACCAGCAATTGTTTGGCGAAATTAGTTTTTTATAGAAGATATTGATGTGAAAAATTATAGCACATGGTTTAAAAATTTATCATTTGGTCATTTAGGATGATTAGTGCGCACGAAAATGTTCTGAATACGTAGCGTAGGCGGCATTATAAAACGCTTGAATTTTCTTTTCAAATTGAATAGAAAACCACGCCTAGCCAATTGATTGGAAAGATGCTTCATTAAACCAAAAATAATCATTTTGTGATTGTGTTAAGGATGGACATTTTGAAATGCCGTTTAACATTTATACTTAAAAAAATCTGCTTTTTACCAGAAACTACACAAGTCATGTTAAAAGATATTAAGAATATAGAAGGCGTTCAAAAAAGTAACGCTATAGCAAAACTGCTAAATAAGTGGACCAATTACGAGAACTGACCGAAACCTTTTTAAAGTTTTCCTTAAAAAAATTAGCAACAATCCAAAATTAGTGAAAATTAATTAGTGGAAAATATTTCACTGGACTGACCATAAGCTGATTGCAAATCCATGCCGCCGCTCGAAGTTGTCGACGCATAATCGATTAAATACAAGGCAGCAGTAACATAAATGATCCACATTTTGCTGTAAAGTTTGTAGAGCCCGGTCAAGTTTGATATAAGCTTGAACTAAGAAGAAGTTTTTTAAGAAAAAAAAAATTGACACTTCAGTAGATAATGTGAAATGATGTTTTCCTCATTAAGCTATCAAAATGACAGAGTTTAAGAACCATTGTCATAAAAAAGAGATGAGCAAGTTAAACAATACTTGTTTGGATACACAACTTGTCACGCTTAGATCGGTTCTGCTTAAATGGTAAAAAATTACACTTAAACTACCAATGCAACATATGGACATTGAAATTAGATCGATTTTAGTTTTATCCTTTTTTTCGTGAACTCAAAAAATAATTAGAGCAAATAGCGTAAACCACCGCTGTTCAAGTAGCCAAAACTGCTTCCAAATTGGCGTGCTAAAAAGTCGGCGGACCGCAACACTTCCAAAAATCAATTGAAAAGGCGGAAAAAGTAGGAACATTTGTCGGTGTTCTTTCGGCGTCAGAAACTCTGGAAAAGTACTTCTAACTAAAATTTCAGTCCAAAATGAGCTTTTTGACAAACTACTAATATATGCTTTTCTCATGTTCTGTCATCAAACGTAGGTCACTAATATTTTTTTGGAATCGATCATTCAATACGTTTGGGGAAACGCAAAGTGTTTAAATTTTTGGTAGCCGCACGTTTCAAATACAAATAATTATGAGGGGAACGCACATCAGTTATTCAATAGTAAAGGATTAATCAATTTTTTTTCTTCAAAGCAAAATCAATAAGAACTATTAAAGCAACCGGAAATGCTGATCAAGAGTAATATTTTGAGCTCTTCTTCCTAAATAAATAGTCGAGACAGGGGTTTCGGTCACGCACAAACTCGATACACCTCAAGCACGGTCGAAAAATACCGATCCTTCTGCGGTAATTCGGAGGCAATTAGAAATAATTCTTTCAAAAATCAACTCAATTTTAAACATTTTAAAAACTCAAATTGCAAGCCCGTATTCCAAAAAATGGGGAAAACAGCTCTAAAACAGTTTATCTCTACAGAGCATTTATTTTGCAAATAATTCTAATTTTTTTCATTCTGATAAAAAAGCATCATGAGATGTAACCCGAAAAGCATAAATTAGAACGTTTAATTTTGGAAAACGTTCAAAAGCTATTTGAAAGTCGAAACACGCCCAAATTTGGTCGTGTACGGTCAAAACAAATCTTTTTTTAGGTCCAACTCTGTAGAGCACATTTGCTTCGGCTGAGAACGGTCGAAGCGAACGGATTTTTGGACGGTTAAAACAACAATTTTTGGTCGAAACAGTCGCAACATAAAATGAACACCTCGAACTAGGCAGTTTTTAACACATACGTGTCGGTATTAATTGGATAGATAAATATTCGCAAATTTTTTTTTAATTAACGTGAACAAGTGTATCACAAATTTTCTTGCAGATCAATGAAAAACAAAATTTAATTTGCTCGTTAACATTCAGCATCAATCATCGTTTGCTGATCAGCCCAGGTTGACCAATACTTCTTATAAAACAATTTCTATATATGAAAAACTTCTTACCATACAATTCCATGAGTAAAGAAAGTATTATGAAATCTCTATGATAAGCACTTTTCCATTTAGGAAAATTATCTGGCAAGTATTTTTCCATTTTTTGTTCAAGTTTTATTTCTGACAAATTCTAGAATGTGTTCGTAACCGAACGCAAAAGACAAAGACCTTGGTTTACTCAGAGCGCCAAAGTTTGTAAGGTCTTAAGTTGACAATGCACAGAAAACGACAGGAACTGTCTTAGAGCTGTCTTTAACGAATGATATAACAAAAGTAACAAACTTTTAACGTTTGGCAAAAATTTTCAATGTTGAAGAATTTTAAAATTCGAACTTTTAGTTCATCAGACATTGATCAGTATACATAAACATGCAAAGCTTACATAAATGGCGTTTTTGAAAAAACTATTGAGCGAAAAGGAAAAAAAATCCAACATTAAAGTGACTACTTTGATTGTTTTCATTAAGAAAACAGCTGAACGAGTTCATTGACTGACATTTACTTTTAATACTATCAAATAATTACGTCACAAAAAATTAATTATAATGGATTATGTTTTACCTAATCTGCATGAAAATATAGTAAAAATCAAAATTAATGTAAATTTAAGCTATAAGCAGAGGCGGATCTAGGACTTTCTCGGGGGGGGGGGGTACGCGGCGGATTTTCAAAAAATTTTCGAAAATATTTTTGGGTTTCCATCTTTTTTTTATGTTGACCAAATTGTTTTTATGAGCTCTCCTAACTCACTATAAAGACCCCATTTTGATCAAACTTTCTACGCCGCAGGCAAAATTATGAGAAAACAGGCCAAAAAAAGGCGTTTTTAGACATTTTTTGGAAATTTTTGGTATAAAAATTGCGTTTTTTTTGCGCGTTCTCCCTCCTCAAAATTAGTTTATATTGGTGCTAAAGGCTCCTATTAGGCTCCTTCGCCAAAAATGGATATCTCAAGATAGTTCAAAGGGGGAAACCCCAGCCTAAACAAGAATAAAATGAAATGAAGCGATGACACAGTTGTTCAATATTAATTATAATAAAATTTGAGAAAATTTTTTTCTCAAAAAATCATCGATTATAATCGATTATAAACGATTATAATTATTTTCACTGTTCCGAAAAATTAAGCATTATAATCTATTTTTAATCAATTATAATCAATTTTTTCTGAAATTTATGGAGACTGACAAGAAAAATCCATTATTATCTATTATTTTCTCTTTTACTGAGTGTGGGCTCGAATTAAGACGAAAAATCAAAAAATTCAAACCGGTTTTTTGCAACACTGGGAAATTTTTTTTGAAATTTTAACGTCGTTTGAAATAAGACTGAGAGGGTTTCAATATGATATATCACTCAACTCAGTCCGATGATTGTTTGTGGCAATTGGTTTTGCGTGGAAAACAAAAAAAAACTAAAACACACATGAGTACAAAGTTCCTCCCCATTTTCAGTTGTCGGAACAATAAAATTTAGCAGTTGTTTTTAACTCATTGGCGTAGAGTTTAACCGTTCAGATCCCTCTTTAAATGAGAAGAACACAGCGTTTAGAATGTCGACAAAAGACTGTCTTTTGACGTTTTAAAAATTATACTTAAAATTTATATATTTTTTTTCAATTTGTTATTTCTTTATCTTCGAAATTTTTTCTTTGATCGAGTAATAGGCCACAATTTTTTTAAGATATTTTGATATGTTCGAATTTAATTGATTGATTAAAAAAGGTCAGTAGGACAAACAGTGATTCGTTTTCCAAGAAGAGCATAATTGGTAAGCAGGGCAGAAGTGGTTAGAATTTTCTGCCCTACTTGTACAAGAACTCGGTCTCTTTGTTTTTCACCACCCTCGAATAGTGGAAAGACACTAATGTGCAGGCAGTGCAGTGTATTGTCTGTGTTTTCATTTTTTGTCGGCCAATTTTGATTACGTGGAAAAAAGATCACAGGCCGTAAAATTGTGTACATTTGAAGCTCTATTGGTTGTGGTTCAGATTCTAAAATTACGATCGAAGTTCTCTCAGTGGAAATAAAAACTGGTCTGCATTTTTAACTTCGTTTTGCAGTTTAAATTTTTGTTTTTCAAATTAACGAGGGTGACCTCCCACGTTTGAGTGTACTACGATTCTAATGCAAACTCCAACGCTAATTTTAATATCATTTTATCTATAATAATGATTCTTTTTAACTAAAGGACTATTTTGCAGTTTTTTCATTTAGTTATTTTTTCTCCTAAATCAATTTGGTCGGAATATTTGGTTTTGTTTGCACAGTAACCTGCTATTTTTTTAAGAAATTTTTTTTTGAAATCGTTTCGTTATCGCAAATTGAGAAAGCAAACAGCAACATTTTTTCAATTGTTTACTGCGCAAACTGATATCTCAAAAAAATGTATTTCAAGTTTGAAACGCTTTTTGTCACAATATGTTTGGTTTAGGAATTTAAAAATATATTTTCAATAGATCATACCAAAAATAAGATTTACTTTTCTCGAACTCTGACAAAAGAAGAAAAAGTTCAATAAAAGGTTTCAACAATTTTTGCTAGTTTTTCTTAAATTATTAAAATAATTCACCTTTTGAATGAATAGCTTTGGTGAAAGACAAAAGCTGTTGGTCTTTATATTGATTTAAATGGTGAATTGAATTTTTAATCAACTCAGTTCATAGTTTTTTCTTTAAATGCAGACTTAAGGATCAAATGAAATCCCACAAAAATGAGTAATTTAAAAAATTAAAAAACGAAGTGCAGCAAATTGGAGCCATAAACGCCGTCTTAATATTTTAATTGTCCTCAACTAGATGATTTGAATTCGAAGATCGAAAAAAACAGAGAAAACAAAAAGGCACTTGATCCAACTTCCAAAGTAGCATCACCAGGTCAAAAAAAAGAATCCAGATCAAATTCAAAACTCCATTTGTAAATTAAGAACTCCAAATATCCATACGGATATATCCAATCAGATAATGAAAATCTCACCTGAGCGGGAACACGATGAGATTGATTGTGCCGTTAGTCCCGTGAACAACAAAAGTTCAAATTTGATCCTTCAAAACGAACGAAAACTGAACGTCGGCAATGCAGCGAAACAACCCGAACAAAACGAGGCTGAAAATGGGGGAAAGTCTAAATTTTCCCAGATCAAAACTCTCACCGTTGACATGGTTGGATCCATTTCACCTCAGCTTTTTGCACCCTCAATTCTGATGAAAATCATGTGGATTCTTGTTTACTTGGCATTTGTGTACATTTTGGTTCTTCAGACCACAATGACCATGATGGAATTCAATTCGCATCCGGTGACCGTCTCGGTGTCGTTGAGAACCGACGCCTCCGAGCTCGATTTTCCAGCGGTGACTATTTGCAATAACAACATTGCTCGGAAATCATTCATTTCCCGAATCAAGTATCTACAGGATCTAGCATGGCTCGACGACTATTCCAGACAATTGCTCAAAGGACGCGACTTTACTTCGAATTATGGAAACGCAAGTTGCGACCCGAAAACTCAGTTCGAATGCAGCAACGCGAGGTGCATTCCGAAAGCATGGGTGTGCAATGGGAGATCTGAGTGTGGGGATGATTCCGACGAAGATCTTCCAGCTGGCGACGACTGCGAGTCGTATCCCCACCGAAATCTAAACACGACTTGCGACGACGGATTTGTTTTGTGTCCTGGTGAAGTGACATGCGCGATACCCTGCGACAACATAGCGGATTGTGTCGTGGACCGAGGCTTTGACGAGAGGAACGACAGCGGATGTGACGAGTCGTGTGTTCGAGACATAACAGCATCGGATCAAGTCCAAGTTTTGAGTCTGCCGAACTACCCTGGAAATTATTCCGTAGATTTGAACTGTGAGTACACCCTATATGCACCCGTCGGTTTCCAGGTTCAAATTGAATTCATTGCGTTCGATATCGAATCAAGCATTTCATGCAGCAAAGACTGGGTTCAAGTTCTGGACTCAGATGGCCAGCCGATTCCAAATGGTTACAATGAAACCTTCTGTGGAAGTTTTGACTATAGTGGTTTGATGAATCGCAGAACAACGTCTTCAGGGAGCTTTTTGTCAATCATTTTTATTTCTGATTCCACTGGAAATTCAACTGGGTTCCAAATTGAGTACCAGAAGACGATAGCAAAACGAAGACGAAGAAGCTTCGGACCTGACACGACTCCGAGGCCGACCGACGTTCCCTTGCCGGATCCGGATACAACTATCAACCCTGGCTCCAACTCATACGATTCCTCGTACTCATCATATGGCTCATCGAACTCCTATGATTCTTCTTATGACTCATCGAACTCCTATGATTCATCGTATGACTCATCGAACTCTTATGGTTCATATTCTGGCTCATCCAACTCCTATGAGTCATCTTATGACTCATCGAGCTCCTATGATTCATCGTATGACTCATCGAACTCATATGAGTCATCAGATGATCCGCCTGACAGCGTCAGCTTCACACAGACTGGAAACGTTTTCGAAGACGTCGCTCTTAACGACTGGTACAGCGCATTCCAGCAATCCGCAATGCCCGACTTCTCAGACTTCAAAGCGTTTCTAAACCTAAAAGCGTCTGAAATAATTGGAAATGGGCACCAAATTGAGGATTTTATTGTTCAATGTGTAATTGACGGACAGCTGTGCTCTTACAGTAACTTCAAAACAACTCAATACGCCGAATTTGGAAACTGTTTTAGTATCAATACCGTTGTTGACGTGGATTCAAACCGAACTAACTTGGCGCCCTACCGAACGTCGAAAACCGGCACTGAAAATGGTCTAAAGCTGTCTCTTTTTCTGGACAAAGATGAATACATCGGAATCATTGGACAAAACTCCGGAGCAAGACTGACGATTTCGAACCCAGATGAGAGTCCTCCAATCACCTCAAAGGGGATATTTCTAAGTGCAGGAGCTGCAACTGTGGTAAGCATGGAACAGGAAACTGTTCTAAAAAAGGAGGCGCCTTACTCCAACTGTATCGACACCTGGCCGGAGTTCCTGGAACTTAGAGATGACTTCAAGAAGTACAGCTATACGAGTGAGCACTGTATATATCTCTGCCAGCAAATCGCCATCGCGAGGACTTGTAACTGCACCTTGTCAGCAATGGAGTCGGATTTCAGCTTGAACGAGCAAGTCGCGAAGTCCATGCAATACCATTGCGATTTGTTTAACAATGCTCAAAACGATTGTGTCAAAGATGTCAAGGAAGATTTCACCGTGAACAAAAGAACGTGTGAGTGTCCATCGCCTTGCAAAGATCGACGACTTCAGTTTGGCATCTCGGCAACCGAATGGCCAACAGAGGCATACGCGACATACTTTGTATCGCTTCTAGAGCGATCGCCGTCCAAAAGAGTCCAACTATTCCTTGCGAGAGCCAAAGAATTGTCGCGTGACGGACAAGAGATTGAATCATTGAAGGAGATTCTGAAAAAGAATTTCGCAAGAGTCGAAGTCCATTTCGGAACCCTGAATTACTTCCAGATTCAGGAGTCCCCGAAGTACACGATCCAGGACTTGTGTGGAACCCTTGGAGGGAACTTAGGTCTATGGCTCGGGTGGAGTATCATGGCCTTCTTCGAAGTGTTGCAATGGGCATACTTCTGTTTGCTGATCGTCCTGAAAAAATAGGAACATTAAAACATTTGAGAGCAAATTTAGACTCTACATTAAGACTCTATTTCAGCGTCAAATCTAGCACCATTCAAATAAATTGAGTAATTCATGAAGAACTTCAGTTCTGAGTGGTTTAACTATTTCACGTTATGAATGAGCAAAAAATGTATAATAGTATAGGTTCAAAAGGACAATAAACAGCTTTAAAAAGGAGACCAAAACAGAAAAGTTGCTCATACAAAAAGATAAATCGCTGCGTTAATTTATAAATTCCGAAAACAGGTAAAAGATGTTGCGGCTAAAGATTGATACCTGAAGTGACTGAATAAGCAAAAAAAGTATACTAGTCAAGGTTCAAAAAAACGATTAACAGCTTTAAAGAGGAGACCAAAACAGAAAAGTTGCTCATACAAAAAGAAAATACGGTGCCTCAATTTATAAATTCCCAAAAACAAGTAGAAGACTTTAAGGCTAAAATATTGATATCTGAAGTGATTGAATAAGCAAAAAAGTTTATTAGTATAGGTTCAAAAGGACAATAAACATCTATAAAAAGGAGACCAAAACAGAAAAGTTGCTCATACAAAAAGAAAATACGGTGCCTTAATTTATAAATTCCCAAAAACAAGTAGAAGACTTTAAGGCTAAAATATTGATATCTGAAGTGAATGAATAAGCAAAAAAGTTTATTAGTATAGCTTGAAAAGGACAATAAACATCCTTAAAAAGGAGACCAAAACAGAAAAATTGCTCATACAAAAAGAAAATACGGTGCCTTAATTTATCAATTCACAAAAACAAGTAGAAGACTTTAAGGCTAAAATATTGATATCTGAAGTGAATGAATAAGCAAAAAAGTTTATTAGTATAGGTTCAAAAGGACAATAAACATCTTTAAAAAGGAGACCAAAACAGAAAAATTGCTCATACAAAAAGAAAATACGGTGCCTTAATTTATCAATTCACAAAAACAAGTAGAAGACTTTAAGGCTAAAATATTGATATCTGAAGTGAATGAATAAGCAAAAAAGTTTATTAGTATAGGTTCAAAAGGACAATAAACATCTATAAAAAGGAGACCAAAACAGAAAAGTTGCTCATACAAAAAGAAAATACGGTGCCTTAATTTATAAATTCCCAAAAACAGGTAGAAGACTTTGAGGCTAAAATATTGATATCTGAAGTGAATGAATAAGCAAAAAAGTTTATTAGTATAGCTTGAAAAGGACAATAAACATCTTTAAAAAGGAGACCAAAACAGAAAAATTGCTCATACAAAAAGAAAATACGGTGCCTTAATTTATCAATTCACAAAAACAAGTAGAAGACTTTAAGGCTAAAATATTGATATCTGAAGTGAATGAATAAGCAAAAAAGTTTATTAGTATAGGTTCAAAAGGACAATAAACATCTTTAAAAAGGAGACCAAAACAGACAAATTGCTCATATAAAAAGAAAAATCGCTGCGTTAATTTATAAATTCCCGAAAACAGGTGAAAGATGTTGCGGCTAAGAGATTGATATCTGAAGTGACTGAATAAGCAAAAAAATTATACTAGTCAAGGTTCAAAAAAACGATTAACAGCTTTAAAGAGGAGACCAAAACAGAAAAGTTGCTCATACAAAAAGAAAATGCGGTGCCTCAATTTATAAATTCCCAAAAACAAGTAGAAGACTTTAAGGCTAAAATATTGATATCTGAAGTGATTGAATAAGCAAAAAAGTTTATTAGTATAGGTTCAAAAGGACAATAAACATCTATAAAAAGGAGACCAAAACAGAAAAGTTGCTCATACAAAAAGAAAATACGGTGCCTTAATTTATAAATTCCCAAAAACAGGTAGAAGACTTTGAGGCTAAAATATTGATATCTGAAGTGAATGAATAAGCAAAAAAGTTTATTAGTATAGCTTGAAAAGGACAATAAACATCTTTAAAAAGGAGACCAAAACAGAAAAATTGCTCATACAAAAAGAAAATACGGTGCCTTAATTTATCAATTCACAAAAACAAGTAGAAGACTTTAAGGCTAAAATATTGATATCTGAAGTGAATGAATAAGCAAAAAAGTTTATTAGTATAGGTTCAAAAGGACAATAAACATCTATAAAAAGGAGACCAAAACAGAAAAATTGCTCATACAAAAAGAAAATACGGTGCCTTAATTTATAAATTCCCAAAAACAGGTAGAAGACTTTGAGGCTAAATTATTGATATCTGAAGTGAATGAATAAGCAAAAAAGTTTATTAGTATAGGTTCAAAAGGACAAAAAACATCTTTAAAAAGGAGACCAAAACAGAAAAGTTACTCATACAAAAAGAAAAATCGCTGCGTTAATTTATAAATTCCCAAAAACAGGTAGAAGACTTTGAGGCTAAAATATTGATATCTGAAGTGAATGAATAAGCAAAATTTTTTATTAGTATAGGTTCAAAAGGACAATAAACATCTTTAAAAAGGAGACCAAAACAGAAAAGTTGCTCATACAAAAAGAAAAATCGCTGCGTTAATTTATAAATTCCCAAAAACAGGTAAAGAATTTTGCGGCTCAGAGATTGATATCTGAAGAGAACTTTCGACTATTTTACTTAAGGGGATACACAAAACTCAAAACAGAAGCAGATGTAAGATTTTCTTGGGAGACGGTTTTTCAAATTAATTTTTTGCAGGCAGACCAAATCTGTCATGACCCATTTTTGACAAAATTTTCTGCGACCCAGGCAATTTAAAAAAAAAAAACAGGTCAAACATGCCATTATTGGGCTTTTTGGAACGATTTGACTAACAAATTGCTTTTTTTTCAGAGCGCGAGTCAGAACATGCTACTATTGGGCTAAGATAGACAACGCAAACACATTATTAAAGAATGAAGTCAATACAGGTCAAACAGTCGGAAAATAGGTCGAGCATAAATATAGAAGAAATAAATTAAAAGGTTGGATACTATAATTGATAAAATGATTGTAAATTAAACGTGAGATAAATTCAACACTCTGAACAGATGATGACAAGAAAATAAGTTTAATGCAAAAAAACTTATCAAACAATAGTTGCTGGTTGCTGTGTAATTAGGACAGCATATACCAACCAGGGTTTTGATCCGGAAACAACAGACTGTTAACAGACCTTTATGTTACGCTGCATTTCTTCACAATAAGAAAAAGAACATTTCTTTGCCTACATAATTTTATAGACAAAATGTTTTGTTGTATTTGAAATTCGTCATCATCACTT